AATCACAGGCATTAAACCTTAGTTTTCTAACCTCAAATACACGTCTATTGAATGCACTGTTGTTACTGAAATTGGACTCAGTACCATATTCAGGGACCACATAGGTAGAGGAGAAATAGGGGCTGGAGACATAACTCAGAGTGCTTGTCTAGCATGTGCAAAGAATCAATCCTCAGAACCAACCAACCAAACAAACAACAACAAAAGGAATAGCCTTTATTCTTTGTGGTTGGATGCATGAGGTTTGCTCAGGATTGACCTTGATAAATATCTTCCCTGAAGCCTTGTTCATGTCCTCTAGTTATTTATCTCCATTTTCAGAATAACAACAAAAAATGTAGTAATAATAAAAATCCCCAAAACTATCATGAATTTCCAAGTTTGAGATATAAATGATTCTGCTCCATTAGTCCTATTTTCCATTCCTATGAATTCAGTTTATAAGAGTCTCTATCTTTCAGCAATGCCTTGTGAAATCCTGTCCCCATTAGACTTTCTGGTTGGGGCACAGTGTTCATCCTGGCCACATTCCCTAGAGTTCATGTCCTTTGCAGAGTTTTTACTTCTGATGGTCTAGGTTAAGTCCCAGTGATTTCTGTGAGAAATACAATTTCTTTTGATAATCTCTAAACTACAGATGAGAATGATAATCTCTTGATTCTGGTTCTTTTTTAAAGACCTTTGAATTTTTCTCAGTTAACAATTATTAGACATCAAATTTACCGGTACTGTACTAGGTGCTGGACATACAAAAGTTTACCTGCCTGTGAGGCTTTCACATTTCTATTCAGGAGGCATACATAGAAACAAATTATTCAAAAACAGTGTAACAAATATCCAGACCCAGTGTATCACAAAAGATGGAGAGATCAACATTGCCCATGAGACAGAACAGGTACAAATGGAGGAAGGCTATACCATAGTGGCTCCAAGGAACCCCACTTTCAGATTTCTTTTGAGAACATGTTATTGCTCCTCCTCAAGCCACATAGAAAAAGTAATAACATTAATGAATCTGTGGGTTTGTGGAGAGTCAGTAACTGTTTCTCAAATTAGCTGGTCATAGGTAGCTTCTATAAGAGTTAATCTAATTTGAGGACAAATATTACCCTATCTTTTTTTAAAATCACATTTGCTTAATTTTCTTTTTCTTTGCCATAGCCAAAGGGTCCTGAAGTTTTGAACATGTAGAACATTATTACCTAATATATGAAATGGGATTAAAAGTTAACAGGGGAGATTCCAGCCACAAGTTATGAACTTTCTGCAAGGTTGAGTTGTCACTTAGACCTTGACCATGAACCATGAAACATCTCCTCTTCCTGTCTTTCCATAGCTAAAACTTTCCAAGTACATTTCCATTACAAAGTAGATTTAGCCAAAGGGAAGTATTGTATTTTGGTCTGTGTTTCTTAGGAAGTCTAGAAAAAAGCTAAGTGGTACTGTCTTGTTCATAGCCTGGTCTGACAGTGGTAACCACTTTTCTTCTATTGAGGCCACAATGTCCCTAAAGGCTTGAAATGTTCAGGGCCTCTTGGTCCCATATCTCTTGCTCCCATTAAGCTTCACCTCTCACAAAGGATAGGTGATTGTAAATTCTGTTGGTACATTAGTGAAGGGCTTGTGTTGTATTAAGAGTAATTTGAAGCTGTGTACAGTGGCACACACCTATGATCCAAGCTACTCTGGAGGCTGAACCAGGAGCATCAGAAGTTTGAGGCTAGCCTGGGCCATTTCATGAGACTTTATCTCAAAATTTTAAAATGTCTGGGGATGGAGCTCAGTGGTAGAGAATCTGCCTAGCATGTGCTAGGCTCTGGGTTCAATCCCCAGCACATGCATGCGCGTACACACACACACACACAAAAGTAGTTTGAAAAAAGCTTCAGTCATTATAGACATAATATTTGAAGACTAAATCCAGGAGCATGGGGAAAAGGGTTATAAACTTTTCTATGAGACTTAAAAATTTTTTTAAAAGACAACATTCTGCCATTTTTCCACAAAGGAGAATGGCATCATCTAGAGAGGCTGAAAAAGGAGGGGAAGGAAATTTTTCAGCAACTCAAATAAAGTAAAGCCAGAATGGCTAATATACAGAAGATGTTAAGAGGAATGTATGAGGAGCTGAAGTACATATGCCATATACCAGATGTGGAGTTACTCCATGCCTCTGGAGACACACTGCAGAGTCTTGAATCCATGCAGCTGTATGCAGACCAGCCTGTGAATCCAGAACTCAGTGCAGGGCCCATCACTAGACTAATCAACAGGCTTAACTGCTTCCAAGTTGATATTACTCTGTATCCAAGAGAGCCAACAGTCTTCCTGTATGGAGAGTTGAGAAGTATGAATGTTGGATGTAATCCTCAAGGTGCCTCCTGGATCACTCCAAAGTCAGAATGCTTTCTTGCCTGGGGTATTTAGAATTTTACCACTGGCAGATATTACTGGGAGGTGGATGTGGAAGACTCTTGGAACTGGGCTTTTGGAATGTGTAAAGATTGGAAAGACAACAGACATGACAAGATGGATGAGATAGAGAGACTCTTTCTTCTTGGATGTGTTAAGGAGAGTACTCTCTTTACCACCTCCCACTTGTACTTTAATATGTATCAAGGTCCACTGGCTAAATAGGAGCATTCCTGGATTGTGAAGGTAGTACCATGAGCTTTATGAACATAGCTCAAAGTTCTCTGATACACAGTATTCCTTCCTGTTCCTTCTGTTCCCATCTCAAGTCTGTCTTTTGCTGTACCTGACATACCTAAGGACTCTGCCCCTATACCACGGGAAATACAATGTGTAAGGAAGCCCTCTTTCTTAGGTCTTATCATACATGACAAACAGATTATATTTTATTAACTTTAGGTTCCTTCTAATGTTGTGAAAACCTATTTACTGTGTTATTAATTATGGTGATAGTATTAAAAGCCCATATACTCTTAAAATTTACATTTTTTAATTTGTTCACTTGGGGAATATAATTATCCATGATACATGAACATATTCTCTGGTTTAACTTTATTTCTGAACATTCATGAAATGAAAGAATAGATAATGGTTGATTGAATAAAGTTAAAATTTAATGCAAGAAAAAAAGAGATAATATTCCTTACAAAGCATTATTTCCTAAAATGGTAGGAGTTACACTGTATAAGCTATTAATTTCCATATGTAAATCTGGTTGGGGAACATCGAAAAATGTAGAACCATGGTAACCACCAGAATGGGGAACCAAAAGGTTGGGGATGGGTATAGAAATTGCTTGTACTGGAAGTCCTTCCTTTCCTTGGTACCCATCCAATTTGGACTGTTTTTTTCTTTTGAATTCTAGATATTTTTACTATTGATAGAACCGATTAATGCTCTGTTTGCTACAAGAAAACAATAACATAGTTTTGTCAATTTAAGTAGCATGTGTCCTTGATTTTGAACATATAATGAACATTTTAGAGAACATGTAAAAAATACATCTAAAGCCTATGTTGAAAGAAAGAAAGAAAGAAAGAAAGAAAGAGAAAGAAAGAAAGAAAATTGCTTGCACTGGATTTCAGAAAACCTGAGGGGATAGAGTAAGCCGGGAGAAGGAATCCACCATGTTAAGAGAAGCCAGAACCCTGGAACCAGAGAAGAAGTAAATGTCAAACATCAGGACCAGATCAAAAGTCAATCTGGTACTATGATAACCTGGACCAGAAATAAAGTGCAAAGGGCTTTGGGATCAAAGTCTCAGAGAGGGACCATGAACATGTGAGAGCACTGGAAGTCTGTTTTATGGGATGCTGATGGGAAATGTTCACTAAATTAAGGAATCAGACCTGTATCCATACCATATCCCGCTGGATTTATACAGCAGTAAAATTCCCCAAATGTTTGAGAGTTGTAGACAATCAAGCTCTTCTAGCTCACCATCTCAGTTAACAGGTGAAGAAATTGAGGCCCAAGGTACACAACTCTAGTGTCAGACAGGATTCCCATTCTGAGTTCTGGGCTTTCTCCTAACTTCCTCACATTCCATTTGGTAAGAAAGAGTTTCAGAATCAATTCTACTACAAAAATTAAAAATTACCAAAAGACTTTAATTAAATGGGTAAATGCATGGGTAAATTTCAAGTGAGAAAACAAAATTGTGTGTGTTATGATCTCATTCTGTTAAAAAATACATAAAAATCTGAGAAATGCAACACACCAGAAATAAACCAAGTGATAAGGGACATGCCAATATCTTTTGTTGTAAGTACTTGTGTTCTTATTTGATGTCCTGGCCCTCAGGATGGAATTTGTACCCATTATTGTATCAGTGCATCTTGCCCCAACCTGTCACCCAGGTAGTAGCTGATTGAAGAGTTCCTTCCTCACATAACCTCCACTCCACAGGAACACCTCCCCCAAGGAGAGGAACAAAAGAAGGCCAGAGAGAAAGGACAAGGCTAGAATTTTGTTTGAGACTTAGATGGGAAAGGACCTTAAAGAATACTAACCCTAAGTTGAAAAAGCCAAGATTAGTTTTCTTCTAATGGAGGGAAACTGTCGCGCTCCCCCTGGAGGCGGCACTGGAGGCTTCCAGGGTTGTCCCCACCATCCCGACTTGATGTCCCGGGCCCTCCCATAGGGCCTGGGTTTGGTGGGAACCTTGGGCTAGAGGCGACCTTCGCTCTTGGCGCTGACACAAGTCAGATAGGCCCTGTAGGGTGGGTCCTGGGAGGCCAAGTCCCTAGTAGAGGCTGGCTGGACAAGTTTGGTTAGATACTTGGTTCCCATGGACAGCTGGGTCCCCATAGGAAGCCCATGGGAAAGAGACTTCAGGAACAACTTTCTCGTGTAACCCTCCCCCACTTTAGAATGTCATCTCGAGACTATTTAAGGGGTGCCACAGGGACAGACATCTCTCACGAACCCACTCATGAGTCTCCCCACTGTTGCAGTGTGTGTGTGTGTGTGTGTGTGTGTGTGCGTGTTGGGGTGGGGGGTGGGCAGGGACACTGGGGTAAAAGTTGACGGATCCGCCCGCACCTTCAAGGACATCCCCCTCGGCTCTCTGGGCTCTTGCCCACCTCCTCCCCTCGCGTGCGCCCCGCGTCATCGCCCCCTTTCCCCTCCCATCTCCCTGCTGGCAGCTCGGCTCTCGCCTCCTCCGCAGTCTCTGCCCCAGCTCGGCAGCTGCAGGCTCCGGCCGTCCCAGGCTCCGGTCGGCGGCGCCCCGCCCTCCTTCCGCGCCCGCGGCCCGCCTCGGCGGCTCTTTGATCCCATCTGGGCAGCGCCTGGGACCGGGAAATTCTTCTACAGGTAAGGATGGAGTCCCTGGTAGGGCGGGATCCCAGAAGCTGCACGTCTCCCGGAGACGCAGAACCCACGCAAGGACAGCTTCTTTAGAGGGAGCTAAAGAAAAGGCTCAAGCAGGGCACTTGCAGCCCTCAAAGAGGCCAACCACCCTTCCCCTGGGCGGTCCAGTGTGCACGGTTTAACCGTAACAGTGTTTGCATTGGAATATAAATGGAATTCTTTCTACTTAAGCAGTACCAGAGGGGACCCTCTTTATTTTTATGATTATTAACAGATGCCTCTGAGAAAGGTGTAAAACCCATTCCTGGAAAGTCTACTCTCGTTGAAAACTTCTTTGGCAGAGTTAACCATGAAAACCAGCGCCCACCCCGCCCCCCGCCTGCGCCCCCTTTATAATCAACTTGGTTGCCTGGGTCAGCAAAAGGAGCAGTAGAAACCGTTTAGAAAATAAGGAGCTGAAGTGAAATGGAAGTCGTGCTTCAAAATACCACAGTGTCTCCCCTCACAAAAGGCGGGGGAGATGGATGAAACAAAATTGGCAAAAGTATTGATCATTGTTGAAGCTAAGTGATGGGCACACGGGGGTTACACTTTTCTCTTCTTGGCTTTCCTATTCTTTTCTCTCGACTTTGTGTAGTTGAGATTTTCTACTACAAAGTTTTTGAAAAATTGTGGACAAACTCTTGCCTGATTGCTCTGATTTTATTGCACTCTCATTGATTTACAAAGAAGTTGCATGTTACATCTAGCCTCCCTCTTTATTAACCTTTCTGCCTTCTGATATCAACTCTCGTTTTATTCCAAGTACCTTTATCTCTACAGAGAATTCTTATATTCGGCTGCCTGAGGAATTATGCTTAGAATCTGGTTTATTATTTGGAAGAGAGAATATTAAAATTCCAGCCAAATAAGACATCTAAGCTTAAAGGGGTGACCAAGCATCATATGGAGTTTTATTTTTATTAGGAAATACTAGAGAAATGTCTTTAGTGTGAGAAGGGATAGATTTAGATACAGCCCCTGTTTTTCTTCCAGACAGCTATGAAACCTGTGTTCTCAAGAGTCTTTTTCATGTTTTAAAATATGAGATTGTTTAGAATAGTATGTGCTCATTTAATGTTAAAGTAACCAACTGCTATTGTGGATTCATTTTTCCACCAAGTAAATTATTGATCTTTCTGCACCCAATGCTGAAATATTTAACTATGTTACATTTTAACAGTAGAATCCGACTAGAATTTGGAAGGATGACGCTACCTCACCTTAGCACTGAGTTAACTTTGCAGATGGAAACTTTGAGTTGAAGAAGGAAGAGCAAAGTCACGTTAGTGGTAACCAAGTCAGTGTTTTATAATTTTAAAATGAAAGAATTAAAGACCTTCATATAGGTAACACTGGTGGTGTGATTTGCTAAAAACATTGTGACTCTAAAATGCTTTAAAGCCTGAAAATTTGGGAACCTAATACATTTACAGATATTCCTTGATTTCAAAGTCCAACTTGAAAAACACAAAGTCAGGAGCCATATGCTGCGCACTTCATAAATCAGCAAATGAAAGTGCTTGCAGAGTTCCCTTAGGGTTCCCTTAGTGCCATTAAGCCCAAATTTGATTCACACACAGTGCATCTATTGCATAAATTGAGATGTGCATGTCCTGGAAAAATAGCTAAAAAACAAAGGCAGGTTTTATTTCTTTTTTTATTGTGATGAGAAACAGAAGTTCTGGGTTACTGTAAAATAATCAACTGTGAAACTTTACCATCTTCCTTTCCCTTGAGCCCTGCCAAACTTTTAAAGCAGACATTACTTTGTCTCCATTCCTGAAACTAAACTTGAAAATAGTGCTATGGTATGATATTTTGAGTAGAAATTGGCACATCGTCAATGAATTTTCTTGCCATTTACCCTCAGCATAGACTCAATGGAGAGCTTATCCTTTAGTAATGGATTATAAAGTATTTGATAAACATGTGGAATATTTGGCAGTTTCACGATTTTCCTTAGCGTTGAAATGAATTGCAGCACGTTTGGCTGACTGTTTAGCAGTGCTGTAGGTCATGGTGGAAGTGTGCTGGCACTGTAACTGTTTTTGGAAAACCACCTGCCAGAGAATTGTCTGGCTGGAGACAGCATTATCAGCCCTCAGTTCATCAGGATGGGCTCTGGGGCCTGTAGGTGGGTTTTCTAAAGGTGATAAATTCCATATGTGACAACTGTTTAGTATATTGTTAGCCTGTTAGACCTGCTCCCTTCCTCCACCCCATCTCCCATGCTTTACAGTAAATTCTCACAGCTGAGTGGATGCAATTTAAATATTTGCATTAGATTTGCCATGAGCAGGATGACTTTGCCATCTAGTGGTAGCAACACAGATAGCAAGTGGGTCCTACTCTGGAGGAGCAGGAACGAAAACTTCTTGAGGATAATCGATTAATAAATAGTGTTTTCTCACTCATGGTTACTTTAGAGCTGGAAGAGAGCTTAGGAATTTATAGTTCAACTCAGTAGCAAAGAAGGATTATCAGAGATTCTGGTGACAAAAAGTCTTTAGAATAATGCACAGAATAGTTAGTAGGCATTTGATGAATAAACACATTTATCTACCCTGTTCCAAGTCTTGTTTTTCTCTTGCAGTACTGCTCCATACCACCATCAGGTCTTATCATGACCTTTTGTTTTTAGTTCTTAAATTGAATGTCTGTATAATTTTTCTTAAATAGTTTCACGTGTGATTAAGACCCATAAACCAAAATTCTTTTCTACTTCATATCACTTCCTAGTATTTCATTATTTCTAAACATCTAGGGCAGATGATTTTAGAAGCTAGATTCTCACCTTAATAAATGTTTTAATTTCCTATTGCTTCTGTGACTAGTTACCAAAACTTTAATGACTTAAAACAACACAAATTGATTATCTTACTTATCTGACGGTTGAAAGTTTGAAGAAGGTCAGCAGGACAGCTTCTTCTGGAAGTTCTAGGAGAGAATCTGTTTCCTTACCTTTGGCAGCTTGGAGAAGCCATTGGCATTCTGTGGGTCATGGGGCTGCATCTTTGGACCTGTGCTTCTTTACAGCTTAGTCTTATTTTGACCCACTTAATAAGGGCCCACATGATTATATAAGACTCACCTGGATAATCCAGGATAGTCCCCAGATCTCAGAATCTTTAACTTACCCACATTTGCATCAGCTCTTTCACAGGGAGGAACACATCCACAGGTTTTGGGGATGAGGAATGGATGACTTTGGAGGCCAATATTTGCATACTACACTGAGATATATATACACAGCAGTTAGAGATGCATGACATGCCTTATCACTATCTACCTAAATGGTTTGTTTTTTAGTTAAGAGTCAGACTATGTTGCCCAGGCTGGCCCTGAACTCCTGAGCTCAAGGGATCCTCTTGCATCAGCCTCCTGAGTAGTTGGGACTACAGTCACACAACACTACGCCTGGATTTATGCCTTAGGTTTCCGCTCCTGGTGTTGGATCATCATCACCAACACCATTATTGCTGCCTTTTGTTGAGTCCTTACTGTGCTCTGGGCATGGTGACCTATATATTAGTTTTTGAGATGAAAAAAAAGCCCTTAAAATATAGGCCTAAACTAGATGATTTATTATGGCCTTTTCTAATCCTGAGACTTTCTGAAATAAGAATCAGTTTCTCCTCAAAGTACTCTAAAATATTGTGCCTGTTTAACAGATGTGGAAAATAATCTTTGGACAGATTAGGCACCTTTGACAAAGTCACACTGCTAGTAAGTGGCAAGCTGATTTGGTTTCAAAGTCTACTGGCTTCACAATCATCCAAATACCCCTGTTCTTATTCTCCATCTTTGTTATGTCACCGACAATGCTATTTTCTCATCAGTATAGTACCACATACTTTTTTCTTTTTTCTTTTTTTTTTTTTTTACTTTTTTTCTTAAATATTGCTCCTGCCAGTGATTAACATTCAGTAAGGGATATGGTAACTCAGGAATTAAACTTTATAAATTATCTATTTTTTCTTCAACTGCTCTCCCAAACTGAAAGTGACTATGAAGTTTTTTAAAATTTATTTTTTTTACACAAATGGAGCACAACTTTTAATTTCTCTGGTTGTACATAATGTAGAGTCACATTATTCTTGGGGTAATAATGTCCATCTCATTCTACCATCTTCCCCCCACACACATTCCCCCTCCCCACTCTTCCTTCTGCTCCATCCCAAGTTCTTCCATTCTTCCGTTGCCCCCCACCCATTATGGATTAGTATCCACTTATCAGAGAAAACATTTGGCCTTTGGTTTTGGGGGATTGGCTTACTTCACTTAGCAATGATATTATCCAACTCCATTGATTTATCTGTAAATGCCATAATTTCATTCTTCTTTAAGGCTCAGTAGTGACTGTGAAATTTTTACAAGTGTTTTCCAAAACATAACCCATGTCTTTAATGCTTCCTTTATGCTTGTTTACTGTGACTCCTTTCCAGCTTGTAGCACTTTGCCTAAGGCATCATTTCTGCCTACAGTTATTTATAATATCTGGGTCAGACCACGAGGTTTCCCTGTTGTGTGAGAGTCCTTACTGAACAGGTGGAAGATGAAAGTAGAGGAGGAGATGAGCACATGTCTTCACATTTAGGTATGTGTATAAATGTAGGCAGGGGTGTTCGGAGGGACAGTTGATTGGTATCATGAATGGCTAAATAAAGGACAGCCAAAAAAGTGGTTATGCCATGACTGGTGTGTCCTAACATACACATTAGAAGTTGGTGTGGGCCCTACAGGGTCATTGATCTGGCTGAATAGTGCCTGACCCACACTAGTCCTCCAGAAAATGTTTGATGGTTAATGCAAAATTGTGTCTTTTGTCAGCATACTATTACATGAGTATGGACAACTACCTCACTGCACATTATGGAGGGACCAGGTGAAAAAAAAGGTTTAGGTAAGCATGCATCTTTCCGCTAGTAAATGCAGTTCAGTGCAGGTCCTCTGGTGGTGAAGTCAGCATCTTCATATTTGTTTATATTTAGGACAAATAATTAATTTGAAATATTTAGTATAGTGAGCAACCATCTATCTAATCTTTCATTGATCTGCCTGCTCTACCTATAAACTATAAACTTCTCAAGGAGAGAAAGAGGGAAACTGAGCTATAGAGTATGATTATGTTATATTGTAGTCAAATTCTTTATACTCTACATATACCTGCTCACAAAGTTAGGTTTTTCTTTCACTGTAGATTGCTGTCTTAGAGAAATTATTTTGACATTGACTTGGTTTCTTTTTTTAGGCTGAGGACCTGATGAAGTTCCAGAATTCCTAATGTAGTTCCAGGCTATAAATGAGAACCTGGGAATGCAATTCAAGTGTTTTGTGGCTGTGTTTACTCACTTAAGTGTATTTAACCACACTTAAGTTTAATAGCGATGAGAAAAATATAGTGCAAAGCTGCAGATATTCAGGGAAATGAGTAATTAGGAAGGCATTCATTTGAGAAGTCTCTAAAGTGAAGCTGTCCTTGAACACACAAAACAGAATAAAGAAGAAGGGCATTTGAGAGTGAATTGGAAACTATCTTGAAATAAAAATTCAAGACAGTTAAATAAAAATATTTAACTGTAAGACTGACTTTTTTGAAACTATATATTCTCTAATGTTGGCTCATGAATCAGTTTTAAAGTGATATAAATTCACCCACTAAAGCATAATAATTATAAAATAACATGTTTGTTGCTGTATAGTAACTTAACTGCTTACTATGCTGGGGCTTAGTGACAATTTTTTTTTACATATATTACCTCATTTAAATCTATAATTCACATTATTATTATCCCACTTTGCAGATGAGGAAAGTGAAACCTAGTGAGTTAATGAACTGCTTACATTCAAATACCCAGTAAGTAGAAAGATGGGAACTGTGCCCAAGTCATTCTTTGATCTTAGTCTTTGATCTGCACTTGTAACCATTATGATGGTATAGATACACGGGTATTCTAAACACTATCAGTATTCCACATTTATAAGAAATCATAAACAAACAACAGAAAAATAGCAATAAATCATCTCTTGTACTTATGTGTGGCCGTGTCTATTAATAGAGTAGGTACAAATGTGGAATTACATTTTTGCCATCATTAAAAGTTCCTATGACTACATAGGCAGATAGCCTTATTTCTCCCTAATTCCCTTCCAGTCCTTTTGGCTCCAGGATCTAACCCATAATCAACTTTGTGTACACTGACTCATGGTGGAGAGAAATGACTACGATCTCACTTTCATGAACCAAAACTGGAATTTGAAACCCTAAATTCAAGCCACCTGGAAACTGACAGTAAAGTCACAATTATAATAGAAGACAGGAAAGAGGAGAAGGTGGGGGAAGTCAAGGGAATATTAGAGTTTTCAAAATACTTAAGTTGTTACAAAAGGATCATGTCCCTTTAGGTCAGGGAGTTGGTGCTTTTCAGATGATGAGCATCTGTAGATGGATCCACTGAACTGTGGACTGCTCCATCAGTAAGAGCTATCGTTTACACTGACATTCTACCACAAGGCAAACTTAGATTTTTCCAAAAGAAAGTGTCCTTAAACACTTGTCCAATTTTAAATTACAGACCGAATTAGACAGGCTAACTAAAGCCATGTCCTCTTATTATTGTGATTTGAGGTCATATTACAAGGCACTGCCCTTCCTCTGCCCAAGGATAGATGTGGGCATGGCTTTTTTCCTGCAGTGAATTGAAGTGGAGCTCCCAACAGGGCTGGCAAACCAATGCCATTGCATGAAGCCTAACATTGGATGTTGAAGGCATTGCATACAAGCCTACTGGATTTGATTTTTTTCAGACATGTTCAACCACTTATATAAACCTAAGTTCTGTTTGTTCTTTATATTGAGTTCTGAGCCATTGCATATTAGCAGTTGCCAACACAGAAAAGAGCAGAGTCAGTATAAACTTATTTTGTACACAAAGATAAAACAGATGTTATTTGAAACCCAGTTAAACAATCATCCCTGGAAACATTGCCTTCTGGTAGAGCCAGCTCCTGCACCCGGGCCTTGGCTGCAGCATAATTCTCACACTTTACTGAGTTTCAGAATCATCTGGAAGTGTAGATGAAATATAGCTAGGAAACCCGCCCTCCTCTCTGCTAGGAGAGCTCCTAATAGTAGGTTTGGGTGGGCTCTGAGAATTGAGAATAAGTTCCCAAGTGATGCTGATGTTGCTGGTTCTGGGACTGTAATCTGAGAAGCACTGGTCTAACATATCCTTTGGTTGAGAAATCAAGATTGGGCTCTCTGGCTGGGCTTGTAGGTCACTGGTTGAGCACTTGCCTTGCATGTGTGAGGCACTGGGTTCGATCCTCAGCACCACATAAAAATAAATAAATAAAACAGGGATATTGTGTCCATCTACTACTAAAAAAATGTTAAAAAAAAAAGATTTGGGCTCTCAATCACTGTTCTCAACTGCTGGAAGGATATTTAGCTGAGCACACATGTAGTGGGAAATACACCTATCTATTCATTGCTTTGTGCCAAGTATGGCTTGAAAGTGACTGAAGGGATTGAAAATTTCAAAAGTATTGGCCATGATCTTTGAAAAACCACTATGACATACTTAACCAACAAATGAAATTACACTTGATACAACTGGACTCTGATAGGCCATTCTGAAAAGTCTGGCTACAGAACTATGTTAAAGGACACATGTTTTATATGTTAAAGAATATGGGGAATTCTATATTTGATATCCATATTCTAGTACAATGATTTGCATAGTAAAAGATCATCTTGTCAGTTATCACTCGATAATCACAAACTGCCTTTCTAATCCCTAACTAGCTAAAAAGTTGTAAGACTAAGATAATAGTATAGAAAAGAAAAGAAAGAAAGAAAGAAAAGAATACCTAACTAGGGAAGCAGTTCCACAGAATCATGATTTATACAGCCTCTATTTTTGTCAAGGAATGCTTTTTATATATTTATTACCCCATAGATCATTAATATCATGTGTTCCAATATACAAAGTGAGATTCTATGTATTTCTCAGTATGGATAATTGGTGACTTTCAGTCCTTGATATATTAAATACCAAACTTTAGTCTTCGCAATATTAAGTACATCAGAATGAACAGTTGTCATAAAAGATTAAATGAAAAACCAATTTAAGATAAATTTGTGTCTTACATCAAAAACTTCCTTGACTAACATTTAAGAACAAGTGTATGTTGGTCTGGGGTTTTGGCTCAGCGGTACAATGCTCACTAACATGTGTGAGGCCGTGGGTTTGATCCTCAGCACCATATAAAGAGAAATAAATAAAGGTATTGTGCTCATCTACAACTGAAAAAAATAATTTTTTAAAAAACAAGTGTATGTTTATACATTATTTTCTTTTTCTATTTTTAAGGACAAAATTGAAAAACAAAATGGAGAATATGCTACTTTGGTTGATATTTTTCACCTCTGGGTGGACTCTCATTGATGGATCTGAAATGGAACAAGATTTTATGTGGCACTTGAGAAAAATACCCCGGGTTGTCAGTGAAAGGACTTTCTATCTCAGCAGCCCCACATTCGAGGCAGACGCCAGGATGGTGGTAAACAGAGTGTGTGGCATCGAATGCCAGAAAGAACTCGCGGCTCCTGGCCTTTCTGAATTGGAGGATTCTCTTTCCTATGAGACTATCTTTGAGAATGGCACTAGAACCTTAACCAGGGTGAAAGTTCAAGGTTTGGTCCTTGAGCCAACTCAGAATAGCACTCCAAAAGAAGCAGCTGTTAGGAGAAAGAGACAAGTGTATGGCACCGACAGCAGGTTCAGCATCTTGGACAAAAGGTTCTTAACCAATTTCCCTTTCAACACTGCGGTCAAACTCTCCACGGGATGCAGTGGCATCCTCATTTCCCCGAATCATGTCCTCACAGCCGCGCACTGTGTTCATGACGGAAAGGACTATGTCAAAGGTAGCAAAAAGCTAAGGGTAGGATTGCTGAAGATGAGAAAGAAAGGTGGAGGCAAGAAGCGCAGAGGTTCTAAGAGGAGCAAGAGAGAAGCTGAGGCCAGTGACCAAAGGGAAGGTACCAAAGTGAGTCTGCAGGAGAGACCCACGAGAAGAGGGAGAGTCGAGTTGGGTCGGGGTCAGAGAGTGGCGGAGGGAAAGCCTTCTTTCCAGTGGACGCGGGTCAAGAATACCTATATTCCGAAAGGCTGGACGAGAGGAGCAGGTGGGGATGCGGCCTTGGACTATGACTATGCGCTCCTGGAGCTGAAACGCGCTCACAAGAAGAAGTACATGGAACTAGGAGTCAGTCCGGCCATCAAGAAGATGCCCGGAGGAATGATCCACTTCTCTGGCTTTGATAACGATAGGGCTGATCAGTTGGTCTACCGGTTTTGTAGCGTGTCTGATGAATCCAGTGATCTCCTCTATCAATACTGCGACGCTGAGTCGGGCTCCACCGGCTCTGGGATCTATCTGCGTCTCAAAGAGCCAGACAAAAAGCACTGGAAGCGCAAAATAATCGCGGTCTATTCAGGCCACCAGTGGGTGGATGTCCATGGGGTTCAGAAGGACTATAACGTTGCTGTGCGCATCACTCCTCTCAAATACGCCCAGATTTGCCTCTGGATCCACGGAAATGATGCCAATTGTGCTTATGGCTGAGACAAAGCTGATACAAAGTTATTTATCATCTAAGTCGCAAAGAAAACCTATTCTGATTTTCTTTCGTTAGTGAGATCACCTCATAGGATATGCTTGGACTGGAATCTATCAATAGCATTTGAGCATTTTTACAAATTTTTTTTCTCACAATTTAGGAGATTTTCATACATTTAAAAATGTGTAAGTACAGATATTGAAACCAGCGGGGCACTTGAGTGCCAAGTATATACTCTTTACCTGGTGATAAGTTTTATTTGTGGACAGATTTTTGTTTCTTTCTGCCTTCTTAGAAATTAGACATTTTAAAACTTCAAACTTGTACAATAATGTGATTTCTCAATGGACTTATTCTTAGGGCCCTAATAGGATGCCAGTTGTATGTAAAATGTGAAACTGCATATACAAAGGTATGCGGTAACACAAGGAAAATCAGGAACAGAGAGGAAGATTTGCAATTTGTGCTACTCAGAGTTGGATCCATTCAGCTCCTGCCCTCAGAATTTATACTGTTTTTCTGTTGGGTCTGAGAAGTTTAGTTTTTTTTTTTTTTTTTTTTTTTTAAGAATTACAAATCAGAAGAAATAAGTTTTATAAACTATCAACTACAGCTTTAAACAATAGCAACTGCAGTATCTATTTAAAAATGGGGAAAATACTTTGTTTTATAAAATAAATCTAGTTTAAAAATAGGAAAGCTGAGACATTTTAAGATCTTAATTTTTTAATACTCAAAATATGAAATTTTTATATATGCATAGGGAAAACTTTTTACAAGTTATGAATCATGTATCCAAAGCCACATCATTTTATGCTATAATCCTACTATGTATAAGGTGCTATATTTTTAAGACAAGGAATTCTGCAGTCTTTTCCTAGAGAGATCCTTTTCCCTCTTGGCAAAGTTCAGCTTGCTTTCTTCTTTTTTGTGTGAGGCTGGATGTTGAGCCTAGGGCCTTTTGCATGCCAGGCAAATGCTGCAACACAGAGCTAAACAACCAGCTTCAAGTTCAGCTTTCTTAATAGCACCATAAGTGCTCTTTTGGCGAGTTTTCTGACTAGTAATTTTAGATATGTCCTTTATTAAAAAGAATATAATTTACAAATAGGATTTTTTTAAAAAAGTTTCTAGTTATCTTCTTTAGGGACCAAGGCTGTACACATACTCTGATTATCAAGTGGCATAAGCAGCTAAGTCCAGCAGCTGTCCTGGGACAATACGTATTTTTTTGAATTCATCAAACAACTGTTTGGCTATGAATGACTGCAAAAAAGGGTTAGTTCAGGGAATTATGCTTAAAGACTTTTAATGACTTACAATTGAGTGTGTCCTTAAAAATTTAGGAAATGCAGGTCTGATTTTTGGTCTGTTTTTCCTCGCAATTTCTAGAGTCACATTCTCTTTTCTCTTGACACACAGAGTCACTAATTCTGGCAGGGCTACAAATTCATTTTAATTAATTTTTAAGATATGCCCTAAAATAATGAGAGGCTATCCTTTTGATTAATATGCAAAGGAATATTTGATTAGGTTATCATAAGTGATTTTTGTAAACAATACCCAAAGTGGCTGAAATTCAACACAAATGCATATTCTTTTATAATGTTTGTTAAAAATAATTCAATAAAAATTTATAATAAATCAGTTTTATATCTTACTGTATCTATAAATGTGTTTTACTTAAGGGTTTTAGAAAGTATTAGTTCATTTAATTAAAAATGATTCTATTTAAATCTAAACATATCTTACTGAACCGTATTTTGTAATTGTTTCTAGTGATACAGGGCTACCGACTCAAAAGTTTTGGTCAGATTTTTTTGGGGTACACAGCTATGTGATTACTGCAACCAAAACTATTTCAAGGTGAATTCTGTGTATTAACACACTTGCAAACACATGCACACAAAATCTTCATTTTTGATTCTTCTTCATACTTAAAATTTTGAGGTTTGTGTAAATTCAGAATAATGTAGCATGCTTAGTAAAATAGGTGCTTAGGGTTAAAATATGAATATATGTAATTTTCTTAAAATAACCATTCAATACACTTTTCAAAAATGTAAATTTTAAGATGGGTACAATGGCACATGCCTGTAATCCCAGCAACTCTGGAGGCTGAGGCCAGAAGATTGTAAGTTTGAGGCCAGCCTCGGCAATTTAGTGAGAACTTGTTGCAACAAAAAATAAAAGGGGCTGGGAATGTAGTGGTAGAGTTCCCCTGTGCTCAATAATTCCTAGTACTGCAACACACACACACACACACACACACACATATACATGCACACACTCGTGTATATGTGTGTGTACAAAATTTAACTCATTTGATTTGAAGATATCTTGTTGATTCTTACATGCTCTTCTCTTTGCCAAAAAAAAAACAAAAACAAAAAAAAGATTGTGCATTTTATATGACCTCTTTGGGACCACTGTTATGTATGATATTAACTAGAAGGTCTTGCTTCACATTGTTTCCCTGTAATACTTATTATATTTGAAACAGAAGGTTAAACTAAACCTATTTCTCTAAACAAATACTCACTTGGGCCTACTGTGCACAAAGGACTCTACTAACTTAACTGCTTTGAGAATCTTCTCAGTGGTTGAATTCAAATAACTTTACAAAACAACTGTAATTTAAAATCGTGGAGTTTTTTTCCTTTACATAAAAAACATTTCACTTTGATAATTCTTTTTCTTGTCAGATGGATTTGTGTGGGCAGAAGTGACTTAACATATTTTTCCTTTCTGATGTGCTACCTAATTAAATCCAAAGTTTATTTTGAAAAAGATTTAACTGTATATATGACTGACTTAGTCAGTTTGGGCTGCTTTAACAAAGAATATCAGGCTCGAAATTTATAAACTACAGAAACTTACTGCTCACTGTTCTGGAGGATGGGAAGTCTAAGGTGAAGGCACCAGCAGATTCGACGCCTGGTGTGGGCCCCTCTTCATAGATGGTGACTTCTTGCTGTGTCTTTATGAGGTAGCAGCTTGAGTTCCCTCAGACCCCTTTATCTGGGTGAAGCCCTCATGACCCAATCCTTTCCTAAGGTCCCACCTCTTATATCATCAGGATGGGAATTAGAATTCAACACAGGAATTTTGGGAGGACATATTCAGACGAGAGCAATAACTAAGATCAGAGTTGTTCATGAATTTTACTTTTTTTTTTAATTGGGTCTCCCAGGCTGGCTCAAACTCAAGGGCTCAAATAATCCTTGTGCCTCATTCCCTGAAGTATCTGGAATTACAAGCATATACCACCACATCTGGCTAATTTTTATACTTATTTTTTGTACATCAAAGAATTCTTTGAAATTATTATTTCAAAGACGCAATCTCAGCAATTCAGGGACCTTCTGAGCAATCAATTCCTAGAGTACCTGAGATTCTGAAAGGTAATGAAAGGACGCCCCTTCCTGTTCTAGGCATTTTTCCTTCACCAGCCCTGTCCTTCCTGCTGAGAGAAGTCAAGGCTTTTTTTTTTTAAAAAAAAAAAAAAAAAAAAAAACTTTTGCTTTACTTAGAATTTAAATTACTCCAGACTCCAGATTTAAAAAGAAGAAGAAGAAGAAGAACACAAATTTTAGGATATAGAAGAAAAGAATATAACTAGTGTATACTGGAAAGAAGGTCTAGGAGGACACTTTTTTCCTTAAAATTACTTTGAATGAATTAGTTGTTCAAGAAATTTGCAATTGATGATCTTAGAAGACATAACTTTAAAGAAAACATTTTTTTTTTCGCAATACCTATAAAGTGCTTTTTAAATTTTTTTTCTCTTAAAACTCAGGATATGCTTGGTGCCAAGATTCTATTGCCAAACAAAAGTACTACTTTATCAAGCAATTGCCTAAAAATAAAAGTGCGTTATTTTTGAGATGGAACTGAACTTAGTATTCTGCCACTGCACTTGGAACATTTACTTTAAAAAGGCTTTCTTTGTGGCCTGGGAAAATAAGTGACACTATTGTATCCACCAAATGGGCAGTTGTGCCATTTCACGCAGACTAGTACGTGACTGATGTGGCTCCCTGAACGGATGTCCTGAGCAGTCATTCACCCACAAATAGCAGCATTTCTACTACAAAATTAAAGCTTGACTTTTGGTGGAAACTTAACATTTCATAATGTCATAGGGACCACCTTTTTATGACTAGATGTCTCAATTCTTAGGCTAGATGAAGCAAAGTACTCTGTGGCTTTCCTATGCAGAAGTGTTTGGAAAGGCTCTCCTTTGCTAGAGTCACGTAGAACATTCAAGTTGAGCTCCATACTATGAGCCCTGAATTTATGATATTTCAATGGCTTCCCTCAGCCTGGTAACTTCAAAACTTGGCTGCTTATAGGAGTCATGTGGGAATTATTTTAGAAAGCCAGGTTTCAGGATCCAACCGAGACCTATCCTGGAATCCCTAAGAGTAGGGTCCAGAAATTTCAATTTGATTAAAATCTCCAAGTATTTATGATGATTATCCAGGTTTGACAACTGCTGACTTTTCTAAACCAATTATTCCCCCACCTCTTGCACCTTTCCTCAGGGCCTAAAGATGCTTGTCTTCCAGGCTGGGGATGTGGCTCATGCGGTAGCACACTTGCCTGGCATGCATGCGGCCCAGGTTCGATCCTCAGTACCACATACAAAACAGAGATGTTGTGTCTGCCAAAAACTAAAAAATAAATATTAAAATTCTCTCTCTCTCTCTCTCAAAAAAAAAAAAAAAAGATGCTTGTCTTCTTCTTCTGGGTTAAATGTTTTCATATATATATATATATATATATATATATATATATATACATATATATTTTTCTTCTGATAAACTACTTCACAAACAGTTTGGTGAGGACAGTGGTGGTATCAACAACCAAATATACAGATGGCATTCTTTTCAGTATTTTTATAAACTGGAAATGCATTTTAGCAATAGCATTGTAGTAATACTGTTTTTCTAAAAGAAATGAGTCAAATTTACAAAATCGTAAATATATGTGATCATTTTAAAATTAATGACAAAATTCAGTTTTAATTATCTTCTGGAAATTATATTTTTTTAATTCATAACCCCTCCTATAATATATGTTAAATCAATGTGGCTCAACAAATTTACTGAGTGCAGTCTTAGGCACTTAGGATATTGAATTAAGTTTTAGATTTATCTTTCCTCAAATAATTCACAATCTAGTAAGGAAGTCTCTCTCTTTTTCTTTCTCTGTCTCTGTCCCTGTCTCTCTCTCTGAAAAATTAAAGTATAAGGAGCACACTGAAGGAGCACACTGAGAAGAATCAACTCTATCAGGATAGTCAGGTATGATGAAAAGAAGGTTTTCTAGATGAAATTGACCAAATTATGTTATTTGTATGTACAAATATGAATCCCACTATTATGTATAATTACAATGCACCAAAATACAAAAGCAAGAAATCAAAACCCCCAAGCAAAACACAAAACTGAAAGGTTTCCTAGAGGAGGTGAGACCTAGCTTAGGTTCTGAGGGATGAGTTGCAGTTTGCTAGCCTATCAACGGGGCATCTGAGGAATGGAGGGCAGCCTTGGGATTGCTGCTGTGGGAGGTTGGTGCCTCCTAGTGGTGAGCAATGGTAAGAAATGAAGCTTCCCAGGATCTGAGGCCCTGGGTTTGATCCCCAGCACCACAAAAACATCAAAACAAGCAAAAACCAAAGTACAATGTTCAGTACACTTTGTGCCACTGAAAGCAGGAGGCAAGACAATTCCACTATAAAGACACCAAGAATATCAGCATAGCAAAGTTCCAGAGTTGAAGGTGTTATGCCACCCAAACTTTTGGCTTGGAAGACCAGGTAGATAGAACACTCATCAAGATGGCAAAACTAGGCTTGAGTAAGAAACATAACGAGTTCACTCTTGGATGTTTATGTTAAAAGATGCCGTAGGATATTTGTCCTAAGGTTGTAATGTCTATACATAAAGAAAATCATGACAAGAAAGTTAAATAAAAAAACATGTGATTCTATTGAAGCAGGCCAGAGACCCCTACCCAGAACCCCCCACCATATTTGTAATATATAAGTTCCTCATCTTGTCAGATACAGGATGTCAGCTATCAGCAAAAACTTGTGCGGAAGAGCATCGTAGTTGGTAGTTTCCTCTTTTTGTAAATGCCAGGTTTGCAGAAAAAAACAACTTGTGAAGGAACCTCTTCCTGGAACAAAAGAGATTGGAACAAAAAGCACTTGTCATGTGAAACTCCAAGCCCCTCCCTCTCCCACTGGGTATAAAGTTCAAAGAATTTCTAGACTCTTTGTCTAGAGGAGGAAATTTTAGGCACAAGCCACACTTTGGACCCTACAGTCAATAAAACTGCTTCCTGAAAATTCCTTGGGTGTCCAGCCTCTTCTGTCTTACTTCACTCTATAGGGAACTAAGCCATTAGTTAATAGACACCCAGAAGGTTATAACTACATGTTGTTCTGACAAAATAGCAGCTACACCTTCTTTTCTGCTTTAAATAAAATGCTCCTTTTAACTTAGCTTTGAAACCATAATTTTTTTCTTTAAGGAAAGAAAAAGAATTTTAAAAATCTGGTTCTAAATTTTCATCTGAAATATGGTCAGAATTTCATCTCCTGTTCTTCAATATTACCGAAATCCACATTCCAAAATACAGATGATT